GAACTAACTGAATTCCAACTGCCTATTTTGCCGCTTTTCTGTCAGATCTTTATGGCTCCGACCTCTGGGTCAGACGGCGAGCGGGAAGCTGTCAGGGATGCCTACAAGTAAATGCCGCCTCAGGCGGAAGTCCATACTTGCAGAAGTATGGGCGGGGGTCGTAGCACAGGCTACGACTGGGACGTGGTCCCTGGCTCGTGGAGCCCCGTCATCGATTGGAAGCATGGATCAACGGTATGCCATTCCGGACTGGACCGCGCCTTTTCGGAATTGGCTGTACGATTCATGGGATGGCCGCATCCTCCGCTATTTAAGCGGGCGAAACTCTTCCAAATCGGTGTCTTCCGACGCCACCATCCAGTTGTGGTTTAGTAAGATACACATGGCTAATGATTCCACAAAGAAAAACAACCCTGGCACAGCTGTGCCCCACCACCACCTGCCTACATCAAACAAATCTGCCGTACTCCGATAGCCATATCGGAGTACGACAGCATTTTGACACCCCACGTAAATCACACAAGAGCCCCGACCCTCCCTCCCATCTTACCTCCATTCCTGGCTTGACGTCAGGCCCATCTTCCGAGGCCTGCTGCACGTGCAGGACGTGGATGGGAACATGACAATTAGGTCAGGCACGTCAATGACGGAGGCGAAACATACACACCCCCCTCCCCCAACCAGCCCCAGCCACCCTCCATAGCATCAGGACCAAGAAAGAGGGCAACGGGTAACGAATCCACAAAGAAAAACAACCCTGGCACAGCTGTGCCCCACCACCACCTGCCCACATCAAACAAATCTGCCGTACTCCGATAGCCATATCGGAGTACGACAGCATTTTGACGCCCCACGTAAATCACACAAGAGCCCCGACCCTCCCTCCCATCTTACCTCCATTCCTGGCTGGACGTCGGCCCCATCTTCCGAGGCCTGCTGCACATGCAGGACGTGGATGGGAACATGACAATTAGGTCAGGCACGTCAATGACGGAGGCGAAACATACACACCCCCCTCCCCCAACCAGCCCCAGCCACCCTCCATAGCATCAGGACCAAGAAAGAGGGCAACGGGTAACGAATCCACAAAGAAAAACAACCCTGGCACAGCTGTGCCCCACCACCACCTGCCCACATCAAACAAATCTGCCGTACTCCGATAGCCATATCGGAGTACGACAGCATTTTGACGCCCCACGTAAATCACACAAGAGCCCCGACCCTCCCTCCCATCTTACCTCCATTCCTGGCTGGACGTCGGCCCCATCTTCCGAGGCCTGCTGCACATGCAGGACGTGGATGGGAACATGATAATTAGGTCAGGCACGTCGATGACGGCGGCGAAACACACACGCCCCCCTCCCCCAACCAGCCCCAGCCACCCTCCATAGCATCAGGAACAAGGAAGAGGGCGACGGGTAACGAATCCACAAAGAAAAACAACCCTGGCACAGCTGTGCCACACAACTACCTGCCTATATCAAACAAATCTGCCGTAC